TGCCTATGTAAATACTGGTACAAGAAGAACGCCTAATGCACTACATAAAGGTTGGAAGCTCGACGTCCCATTGATGCGTTAACTCGGGATCAGATTCAGAGGTTACCCCCAGACACTCGTGAATTTGCAGTTTTATACGAGGAAGATATTGAAAAGGTGAAAGAAAATATACAGAAAGCCCATCTGCAGATGATTGAGCAGGCCCATAAACATCGTTGACCCTCGCAGTTTCAGGAAGGTGATCTGGTATGGGTGAAGTCTAAAGAATTTTCCTTGGAAGAAAACATATCTCTGAAACTGCTGCATGTCTACTACGGACCTTGGGAAGTTCTCAAGGTAATTGGGGATGCAGATGGACCTTCCTACCGAATAGATGTACCCCCACACCTATGGACTTACCCTGTCTTTCATGCGTGTAAACTCCTTGCATATGTAGAAGAAAGCGAGTTTCCTGATATACCATCCATGCTTCCCCCTTCCATGAATGGAGGTTACGAAGTTGAGAAGGTTTTGGAACATGACCATTTTTCTACAGGCGGTAGAGGACGACTGCAAAAGCAGTATAAGGTAACGTTCAAGTCTCAACCTCCTACTGAAGCTAGATGGTTCAGTAAAAAGGAACTCTTACCTACAACTCCTGATATTGTTGCTACATACGAACGTGGGTTGGAAGAAAATTGATGTGTTTCTGTGATGAAACTCGAAAATTGGGCCAGCAGGAATGAAGTAACCCATGCAGTATGTCTCGTGGAATGCCTAAGGGCCTTCCCTAGCCAGACCCAGACCCAAGCCAAAGAGGGGAGAAAAACCCAAGCCAAAGGTTCAGGGCCTGAGCGAGCGACAGTTGACCAAAGTCAACTGCCTGACGCCCAACAATCAAAGTCAAAGTGTATTCAGCCCAGACCGCCGGTCATATGCACACACTTGTTTGTATGCAAGTACCCAGACAACATCAGGACCAAAGGGAAGTGTGCAACTGTATACAATCCAGACCCTTGACTGTGAGTCGATCTGTACGACTGTGGGAAGGAGACTCGAGGCCAAACTGCCCACTACATAAGGCTTGGTCTCCAGGAGGTCAACATTCAGTCTTGCTATGCTGCCTCAACACTGGCTGGACTCTAGCTGGACGCTGGCTTGACGCTGGTTGGACGTTGGCTTGACGTTGGCTGTACGCTGGTACTGTGGACAACGATGTGGGACTGTGGCTGCATGCTGGCGTTTCCTCTGCTGAGCGCCAACCTCTATTGATGTGGCGCATGCCACCTGTCTACATTGATGAAGTGGCACATGCCACTTGTCTACATTGCTGAAGTGGCGCATGCCACCTGTCTACATTGCTGATGTGGCGCAGTGCATCTGTCTTCATTGTTGATGTGGCGCATGCCACCTGTCTACAAGGCTGATGTGGCGAAGGATATCTGTCTTGCTTATTGATGTGGCGCATGCCACCTGTTTATGCTGTTGACGTGGCACTGGCCACACTGTCTACATGAGGTGACTGGTTACGACAAGGAGGGAGATCGGGATCTATGGATGATTGGGAATTAGTACTCTCTTGAGGTTGACGACGATGCCATGTACTGCTGTCGTCTTCATTGTCTCCACGAGATGATAGTGCCACGTGACACTTCTATGTGATCGAGACTTATCAGACTTGTTACTGTATATTGATTGATGACGTGGAGGCGATGGGAAGCCCGGAGGAGTGGAAATTGATTGTGCCACTTTTGTGTGGACACTGATTCTCTCTTCCACCCTCTCCTTTGTCTATTCCCCCTTCACTCTATTCGTCTATTGGTAACGATATATTGTACCAGATATTACTTTCACGTTAACTAGAGACATTGTGCAGATCTGAGACTACTTGTACTTCGACGTCTGATGAGTATTTTCCAGTCTGGGTTCATTACATCTCTCTCTGTCCCCCTCCCTCTCTCTCTCCCCCTCTCCCTCTCTCTCCCTCTCTCTCCCTCTCTCTCCCTCTCTTTCTCTCTCTCTCCCCCCCCCCCCCCCCCCCCCTTTTCTCTCTCTCTCTCTCCATCTCTCGACAATTGAGGTTCACATTGTTTAATCTCTCTCTCTCTCTCTCTCCGTGTATCTATCTTTCGTCCCGCCGACGCTCTCCTTTTTGCTCCTCCTCCTCTCTCTCTGTAGTACTAGCACTGAGGATTGACCTCCCACTTTTCCGCACGTTTGAGAATCGAAAATGCTTGCTTAGGAGAGTGTGCAACGGGTCGCATTAGTTCATTTGTATGTCTCGCTTGTAGTGGTTCAAGACGGGCGAGAAGAGGAGGAGGAGGAGAGGGTTTGTTGAAGTGCATTCCGAACCATGTGTAACAGGAAAAGTGAGCAAGGACCATGTGTTCCTCTTCAACTCTCGCAATTGCTTCGTTGTGGCCCTTGACCGACTAGACCCCAATAAGCATAAAGATGATCACCTTCTTGTGCCGTCTTCTCTTCTCTGTCTTCGTTTTCCTCTCTACTATCCTCTTGAGCGTGTGACAAAGACTTGGGGCCTCGCCATACGGCACACGAAACGAAAACTTTCACGAGCTCGTTTCGTGTTCACACCGCCACACGGTCACACAAATCTCAATAGTGAAAAAGAACTCGCGAGGTGTCAGGTCCTCGTCAGAAGGAAAAGCAAACAATGGCTCGCGAGGAGGTTACGGCGCCCCGCTTGCAGCACCTCAATTTTCATGGGTTATTGCAAGGACCCACGAATCCCCCTCCAACTCTCACAAATACTCGCGAGTGTGTCCAAGGCAGCGGATTGTCTTTCATTACTGCTGCTATTGACAAAGACTTGTTGTTTTTTTTTTTACTTTTTTTTCCTTTTTCTATGCTCATTGGTGTTCGTTTCGTGTGCTCCGTGCGGCGATGCAGCAGAAAATGAAACAAAAACGAACTTGCCCCCTTGCGAATCCTCGCATTTTTTTTTTTGTTTTGTTTCGTTTCGGCTTTGCTGTCGTGTGGCGAGGCCCTTGGTACGACCTCTTCCCTCTCTCTTCCACTTTCCCTTTTTCACTTCGCCACTTCTCTTCTCTTTGTCCCTCTCGCTCATTCCCTCTCTCATTCTCATTCTCTCTCACTCTTTCTCTCTCTTTCTCTTTCTCTCGTTAGTTTTGAACAAAAAGCAGGTGATTTTTCTGATTCCAAGGAGAAATCATTTGCAATGGTTGTCCGTGAGGTACATGCTAAACGGGACGTTGAGCGCCTCCCGTGCATCAATTGTCGCGTTTCCTTTTTTTTTCCTTTTTTTTTTTTTTTTTCCTATTCCTCTTCTGCGAGTCTGCCATCACACTGGCGTGTTCTCGTTTGTGTCAATCCCCCCCTGCCCCCCCCCTGCCCCCCCCCTGGCGCCCCCCCCCTTCTTTTCTATCCTCGGTTGCCTCTCTGCAACCAGACTCGTCTTCTTCTTACTCAACATGCA